TAATATATATATATATATATATATATATATATATATACACATATACACACACATACATACATATAGACACACACACAAAAACACAGTTTAGATATCCAATAGTAGTCCAATGGTCAACTAGCCTTGAGTGCACTCCACCCAGGTGCTCTCAAGGCTAGTAGATATAAGTGGAAGAAGCACTCACGAGTCTTGTAATGAAGCAACATATATACAATACATTTACTGGTAAGTGTTTTGACAAGGCACTGCTTGAGATTGTCTTGAGAAAGATAAGCAGTGCCTTGTGGAAATGTCACCCAAAAATTGTATGTATAATGTTTCATTACAAGCCTTGAGTGTCACTTCCACTGGAACGTGTATACAGTATACACACACACACTTACATACAGGTGAAACTCGAATAATTAGAATATGGTGCAAAAGTTAATTTATTTCACTAATGCAACTTAAAAGGTGAAACTAATATATGAGATAGACTCATTACATGCAAAGCAAGATAATTCAAGTCGCGATTTGTCATAATTGTGATGATTATGGCTTACAGCTCATGAAAACCCCAAGAACCCCAAATCCACAACCTCAAAAAAGTAGATTATTACATGCAATCAATAAAACAAGGATTGTACATAGAACAATATCGGACCTCTGAAAAGTACAAGCATGCATATGTACTCAGTACTTGCTTTGGGCCCCTTTTGCAGCACTTACTGCAATTACTTTTGCACGATATTCTAATTATTCGAGTTTCACCTGTAGACACATTCTGTTATCTAACATGCACATGCCCTATGCAGTGCATATCAGACAAACCTTGTATTTCTGCTGCATACAATGACCATGCATACCAAGATCTCTCAACCCCTCACCAAACAGAAGATAATAACTTATGTTTGCTCAATGTAATCTTTCTTGCTTTATGAAATATTTGCTTCCTTTGGTTATTTTCCAACATGTCTGAGAATCTCTGTGGGTTGTTAAGTGCTCATTTTCTCTAGGTATGTAACCCAAACAAGACGGGATTATCATAACCTCTGCATGAATCTTTTGCACCACATGCAAATATCAGGCCATGCAGAGCCAACAACAGGCATTAATTGAAAAGCACTAGATTATCTCTACTCATCTCTGCAGATATCCACGGAAAATCAGAATATTTCAAGATTTGTAATTCCTTGTGTCTCCGATGCCATTCTCCTGGGGACCATCGATGTGATTGTTTGTACTCATTAAAGGAGGAGACTGCTGTACAATTGCTTCAGAATTTCTACAATGTCTTATTTCATGGTTTACTCTGTACTGCACAAAGTTATCTCATGGCTATCACATAGACACATCAAATAATGGCCTCAACATTACATTTTGCAGCAGTTGTTGTGATGAAAGTAGCTGGTAAAAGCAATCTGTAGAATTATATTTTTAGCCATTTTTTGGTTGAACGCTATTTTTTGCAGGTCTGTTTTTTCCTATAATGATTGAACAATGGTACACAATACACACAATGAAAATGTCCTCTCCCGGGAAGCAGCAGTCACAATATTATCTGGGATGCCATGCTTATATTCTGTAATATTACAGTTTGTTTGGGGGGTTTTTAGCAAAATAAGTAGTTACAGTTTCCGCAAACATTTGTAATACAAAAGAAAATTCTCAAGCACTTTATTATGTGTGGTCACCTTGAGATCTTGACTTAATAAATAATAAACTGTGTTTCAATAAAAATGTGATTCCGCTGAAATGGAGAAGCTTCATGTAACTAATCTTATCAGTCTGTGTTCAGCTTAAAAAAATAAAAAACCTTGTTTGTATTTACATTTTGTAATGATATATTTACATATGTATGTGCTCATTACACATGCAGGTTCACAATGCATAGCTATAAGCCAGTCGACTCATGGAAAGCAAAGCACTCAAAGTCTGGATGACATCCTATAACAAGAGTTGATTAGCAGAGTTGTAGTAGCTAATATGCTCTGCCTCTAGTTTCTAATCAACACATTTGCTAAAATAAAGATATCCACGAGTAAGCACTTAACGCAGAAACTGAGCAAAAATAACAAGATAAAAATAGCCCATTAGGAGATAAAATAACAACACCAGCTTATGTTGTAATATTCACATATTACACAGATTTATCCTGCAATATTTTATTTTCTGCGATTAGATGTCCCCTGGCCTGGTGCCAGGCTTATTTCACCTTCTTATTTACTTCTTTGCAGCCCAGGTCACCCTGGACTTGCCCCAGGTTGTTACTGGATGGTGACAGGAGAAGGAGCACAGTGATAAGCTGATCTCTCCATCACGCTGCTTTCTCATCCCATCAGCATGCTTCTTGTCAGCACCTTAACTGATTGGCTCCTTTTACTGCTTCTTCCTCTCACACTCCAGATATGCTATACAGGGACTGCACGAAGGTTAATACTAAGTAAATCGTAGGTACTTAAGATGCTTGCATTAAAAAGAAATTACATTTAATGATATTGTGCTGATATTGAGATGTGTTAATTCATCTGCTCTTGCATTTTTTTTTACCAGCTTCTCCGGTGCAGTTACATTTATATTGTAGTCTACCCGTACTCCAGCACCCCCTCCCAGTCTTAAATTTACCTATCCCCACAGCCAATATCTGCCTGGATCCAAGAAATGTATGTTTAAAGAAGAACTCCGTTCAAAATGATTCTTAGCTCTTGCAGTAGGGCTCCACCTGCACAGCAAGGGTTAAGTGCTCATTTTGATTATACTCACCTGATCATCGTAGCCAGCTTGCTGTTAGACCGGCCCTTCCAGCCTCTCTCCCCCTCTGCTGCAGCGGTCTAAGGTCACTGAATCATCATGTTCTATACACAGTCTATGAAAACGCAGAGGGACATATCATTGCTGGAGTGGAGGAGAAGACAGACTGTAATAGACTTACCCGTCTGTCACTCCGGGATAGGCGCAGGCTTCCGCCGCGTCATCACGGACGTCAGCAGGCCCCTCCCCCATGTCGGCTTAAAGCCACACAAATTCAATTGCCCGGCGTTTGAGCAAGGGAGATGACGCCGGGCAATGCAGCTACTATCCCACACGCTGAACTCTCCTCTGATTTCCACAGACAGCATACCCTCTCAAGGGAGCCACCACTGTGAGACTCCTTGCCTGCTTCCTGACCACAGCCTTAGAGATCTCCTCCTCTCCAGCTACAGGAACTAACCTCACTTCCTCCCTGAATCTCCATTGGGATTACTGGCACATCCCTCCACACATCGATCTGATTATTGATCTGGTTTACAGATGCACTATCTGTGGAACTCATCTCAAATGCAAGTACTTGTAATAGAATTATATTCCCAAACTCACTGTCTGTTATACTTTCATAGTACAAGTACTTTCTGCTTTAATCCACTACCAAGAAGATTTTATGTGACACATTTCCCATATACAAATACAAATAGCCTAAGGGAACTATAGCAGTGGCTGCCTGTGATACATTTCCCGCACTCAGGCTATATATTCTGCTTAAAATGACTCTGTGTGTACTAGAGGTCTTTCTCTGAGAGGATACAGGGAAACCTCTCCAAACCCACATCTAAAAGGAGTTATCCTAGTGTTCCAGAGTGCCCGGCGTGTTACACAGACTTAGGGCCCATTCACACCACATCATCTCCAGACCAGATTGTTTCCAATGCATTTAATCTGGTCTGGAATGCACTGGAACACATGGAAACACATCAAACACTCATACAAACGCACTGGAACACACCTGAAAAACCCTTTTTAAGCTTTAAAAAAAGAAAAAAAAAACAGCTCTGGAACGCGGTAAAATCTCAGTAAAGCGTGTAAAAACGCAATGTACTGCATATCAGATCTGGCCCGGAAAATGGTTGTGAACCTGCCCTGAAAGGAGCACTGTCACAGCTGGCCAGCATGGGGGATCAGGTGAGTATAACTTTATTTTCTTCCCTAGACCAAAATGAACAGTTAACCCTTAACAGTGCAGGGGTAGCCCCACTGCAAGGGTTAAGAAAAGTTCTGCTTTAAATTGAAACTTTTCTTTGGCGCAGTTACATTTATGTTGTAGTCTTCCCGTACTACAGTACCTCCTCCCAGTCTTAAATTTACCTATCCCTGCGCAGCCAATATCTCAGGGACATGTCAGCATAAGAATGACAGAGGGGGCTAGTTGTGGGAGGAAGACTACAATATACTATAATTGTAACTGCAAAGAGGAAGCGATACAAAATTGCTAAACATTGCAATAATAACTCAAAAGATATGCTCACTGTAAAAACATTATATGTTTGTTTAAATGTATAACGATTTGAACTTGTACGACTCTCTCAATAACACGCTAAAATGTTTGTTTCAACATTTAGCAAATACCTTGATCTTGTCTGGAGCAGTCAGTAGAACTGCAGCAACCAGGGACCCCGCGGAAGCTCCAGCAAAAAGCCTCACAGCACTTAACATTTTCTGGCCATGTTTTAAAAGTGCAGATGCTGCCCCCAAGTGGTATATTCCAAGAAATCCACAAGCCGAGAAAGACAGGTTGAAACCATTCATCGTGTCCTATGAAATGACATTAAAACAACACAGTCACAGAGTGTAGTACATTTAATATCGGAAGATAGGCACGCTGGATGAGGTGGAGCAGCATTTGACCTGGGTCACTCTGAATCGCTCACTTGCAAATTGCTTTCTGAGAAAGCTTGCTTTACCCTCTTTAGGACAAGTATAGTATTTAGCGGCGCCTTTGAAGCCTTAATAGAGAAAAGTAATTAGCATAGCAAAGCTGTAGAACTGTACATTGTAGGAAGGATTTTAATGTCCTCCTGAGTTTTCAGCTTATCAAAATATCACCGATATTGCTCAGGGATGAACGGGGGGAAGCAGTAAGGAGACCCTTTCATGTTGAACGCTAAGCCTAAACAGTTATGGGTTTCTGTTTTTTAAGTCCCATAACTGTTAATTTTTGTAATTTATTGTAATTTGCTGCTGGCAAGAAGCGTTTATGTCAGTTCTCATGTACAGTGCCCAGGGAGCCACTAAAAGCAGGAACTCTAATTGCAAATACTGATTTCAACTCAGTCTAGACCCCCGCACACACTTATTTGGCCAGCGAGGTCACCCATCACCAGGGCCGGATTTACTCACTCTGCTGCCCCAAGGCCAGGTTCCTTAATGCGCCCCCCTACCCGCAACCCCCCCCCAATGGAGAATGGCATACCTGCAGGCTGCATACAAGTGCACCGCCGAGATCACTTGTGCAAAACAAGTGGTGGCTTCCCCACTGTACATTTAGCTCTACTTGCCCAAAGCAGTGCTAAATGTAGAAAACAACTACCCACCCGGCGCCCGTAACTGCATGTCCCAGGTGTCGGGAGATAGGAATTCCACACCTATGCTGCCCCTCTACTCCCTGCTGCCCTGAGGCCGGGCCTTGGTTGGCCTTGTAGGAAATCCGGCCCTGCCCATCACAATGATGAGTTACCCCAGATTTTTCATATTAGAGTGTCCTGGGTTTTGGGCTCCTAAGGAACTCTGACACAATGCGCAGGGCTCTTAAGGTGCCTAAGGCAAAGTTTTTTCTCATAACAGGTTTGCTGAGAAGAGTTGGAGGTTTCTGATTTGGAGGGGGTCTTAAAGCTGAACTCCAGCCTTACCTTTTGTATTCCAACACTTACAGCAATTCCTATCCTGTGTTAAAACGGATTTCTTTTAATTCCCTGCAAACTTGCATTTCAACATTACAACCCTTTGAAGCTGCAGCAGCCACCTTCATTTGCTGTCTTAATGACCTCCAGCCTTTATCAATGAATTCTCCCCTCTGGCCGCCATATGACAGCTATTAGCTTTCTCTGCCATCAATCATTTTGTTTCCAAGCTTTATGTGAAAGAACAGGTCCCCAGAATCATTTTAAATGTGCCTGCAATCGGTCGATCAATCTGCAGGGTGCACAGCTTAAGTCGCAGCACCTAATGGCTGCAGCACCTGCAGCACCTAATGGCTGCAGTACCTAATGGCCAGCCCAGTCAGGCATGGCAGCAGAGAGAAGCAGGCAAATCTAAAGAGATCCTAGGGATGTGTTGTTTCATATAAGATCCAAGGCTGAAAGCTGTGACATTTAGAGGAGCTGGCTGGCCCTTCCCACCAAACTTGGACCAAAAAGCAGCAGACACAGTCAGCGGTGACATCACTGGGTTACAAGACACTGAACACCAATTGCAGTGATCACATGATCAGGGAGCTTACATCCACCTCCTGGCATTAAGAACCCTATAAAGGGCCAACAGGAACAAGGGGTTAAGTATATTGCACCATGCATTAAAACTAGAGTGGCAGTCATGTTTTGATACCTTTCTATATATTTAAATAGAAACCACAGCTGGTTAAAATGCACTGATGCAGTTTCAGGCTTTTTGCATGCATGCGGAAGGAAAGCCTTATCTAGTTTTTTCATTATCCAAATCAACTTTTCTTTAAAGAGACTCAGTTACTGTAGAGAAGGGGGGCAAACTGCATATACCTGCAGCAGGCTCCAAGACTTTTTTGACATACAGGTGAAACTCGAATAATTAGAATATCGTGCAAAATTAATTGCAGTAAGTGCTGCAAAAGGGGCCCAAACCAAGTACTGAGTACATATGCATGCTTGTACTTTTCAGAGGTCCGATATTGTTCTATGTACAATCCTTGTTTTATTGATTGCATGTAATAATCTACTTTTTTGAGGTTGTGGATTTGGGGTTCTTGGGGTTTTCATGAGCTGTAAGCCATAATCATCACAATTATGACAAATCACGGCTTGAATTATCTTGCTTTGCATGTAATGAGTCTATCTCATATATTAGTTTCACCTTTTAAGTTGCATTAGTGAAATAAATGAACTTTGCACGATCTTCTAATTTTTCGAGTTTCACCTGTAGGTGATTGCAAAACTTCTACAATTACAGGTAGTGTTCAAGCCTGCCCTTAAGACCACCACCCACACATTCTTACTGGCCCTCTTTATGATGGGCAAGCTTGCTGACCTATAGAAATGGGTAACATCTTGGTACTTTTAGGAAGAGTTGTATCTTGGCCTGACAGGAAAGTTTGGAAGGCTGTTGCGGGTATGTGCAGGTACTTCCAGCTGCCTGCAGTTCATACCTGCAATAGTTTGCGCCCCTTCTCTTCACTGACAGAGTCTCTTTAAAGCTGAACACTCACCAAGCAGTTTAAAAAAAAAAACTAATTACATGTATTTGAACTATTTTACCTAAAAAAACGATTTGTAATTTAGCTCAGCCAGATTAGTGATTCAGTCACACATGCCAGACTCCACAGTTTGATCAAGCCTGGCCAAAATACAACCTGAGCCTGATGATTGACAAATGAAGCAGCAGTAGTACCACAGTCAGTCTGCAAATGATTGACCCAAACCAGCAGGGCCGTCCCTATAATGAAGCAGCGTTAGGCTGTTGCCTCAGCCTCAGACAGCATCTCTTAGGGTCATGTGAGGGGTCACAGGCAGAGTGGCAAGGCTGCTCTGCTGCACAATGTTTGCAGTGTGCTTGCCACCCCCTCTCTGCAACCTGGGATGCTCTGGCCAGTATACCGCCCAGCTCCTAGCAACCAGTGATGCCACTGGTTGCCAAGAGCTGGGCAGGACACCAGCCATGTCACTGATTTGCCAGAAGCTGGACAGGAGTTTGTGCACCACCAGCATCCCCCCCTCCCCCCCGCCCTGCCACCTCCAGCCTCAGGTGGCAAAAAGGATTGGACTACCAAATCAGTCTAACTGCTGGAACTCCTGTGAAAGTGGTCACATATCTGTAGTTTTACATTCCTCAGCTATGACTCATTACCGTTCTTACAAAAGAGCAAGTAAGCAGGACTCAGGCAATAAGCTAACCAGTGGCGGAACCACCGCCAGTGCGGGCGGTGCCTGAGCCTACAGGGGGGGCCCAGTTTCTATTCAAACACAGCCCTGGGGCAGGGATGGGGGGGGGCCCGTTGGTGTCCGGCCGCCGGTTACCATCGGATCGGTATGCAGCGGGACCCCCCCATCTCTGCGCCGGGAGTGTCCATTGATCACATTGGCTGACGGGCCCCCTGTGTGTGTGTCCAT